TAATTAAATTATGGAGCATAAATAAAAAATGTTAAACAGAAAAGTAATAGACAAAAAAGGTTGATTATTTAAAGAGATCAATAAAATGGAAAAATTGATCTCTATACAGATCAGTCAGAGCATAAAGGAAGCAGACATACATCATTAATATCAGAAATGAAATAAAAAAACATTACTACAGATCCTACAGACATAGTAAGGATAATAATATAATGTTAATAACTTTGTCAATAAATTAAATATCTTAGATTCACAATCAGAATTGCTAGCTGAAAAAGTAATCTTATTATAAGAATTTATCTAATTTTTAAATAGGAACAACACAATATAATTAACTCAGTTATCATATTTTATATATAAAAATGTAAAAAAAAATTTCCATTTTTCTGAAGCTCAGAACCTTCTCTTAAAATTACATGTAACTGATACCTTTTATCAAATTATTTTGTATTTACTCCTGATTTTATAAAATACTACATGCTAAAATCTCTACTGGATAAATGCAATGCTTTCTCTTTTTATATTAACAAGCAAAACAATTTTTGTCTATTGTACATATGTATCCTTGCCTTTCCATATGACCTTTATAATTTAACCGGGGCAGTGGGAGGAATACAGTGACAATAATGTTATAAAATATAAATCTGTTAAACTATTGAATTGCTTTTCCACAAGTATTCAACTTAAAAAACATTTGCATTAACTATATATTCATTCGAAAAGCTATTTGGCATAAAATGAGAATTATAAAAATTACACAATATAATATCTTCTAGGAGTAAGTTCTCTTAACATGCAAGGTTTAGCTAGCACAAATGTAACTAATTAATAACATCTGAAGTACATTCTCCCATAGGACTGATGACCATCTGGTTGACCTTGCGCTAGATCAATAGAGATGGCAAATCTGTAAATCGTTTCTTAAATGTTATCAGTCCATCATTCCACCACAAGCAGAAGGGCTGGAACTCGGATGTGAGAAAGGATCTCTTGTTTCTTATACCTTTAAATCAACTATGATTCATCATTTGACTCTAAATAAGACAAGACTGAGAGGATTCTCCTAAAGTTCTCCCCAGGAAGAGACAGGCAGAGGATCAAGTTACAGTGAAGATTTCAAGACAAAAGAGTCAGGAGGCAATGTAATTATGAGAAACTATAAAGATGCGAAAGACCTCTGCCTGGTGTAACTTGAAATTACTTGAATTTCCTCAAAAGCATCTTCCAAGTCCTGATTTTTGGTTGCAAATTAGTTTCAAAATTTTGAAATATGAAATGAAGTATATACCTTTATGCATTTAAATTAACATATGTTCATATAGAAGGTGGGGCAAAAGTAGATTTATAGTTGTTCATATGGAGAATAATACAATAATTGATAAATAATAGTGCAATAATAAGCTCTGTATTGGGTTTACTCACAACTATAAACAGATTTTTTGCCCCACCCTATATATGTCAACCCTGCACAAATTTCTGTATTTTGATGTCAAGACTAAACTACTTTGGAAGAAATTTAGTAACCTACTCAGAGAAGTCATCATAAAATCAATGACAAACTTTAATAAGAAATTTGGAACAAGCATCTCAAGCAGGTATACTATCAAATCTCTTAAGAAAATGCTTATAAATTTATGATTAAAACTTAAACACTTTAACGTGTTTTTTTCCCCCCCAAGGTACTTTTCCTATGATACTTTGACTAATATATATAGTCTAATATATGTATAGTCTAACTTAAGAGTTTTTTGTATTTTATGAAGAAATTATGGAATTTCCTTATTGATATATCACTTTAAAATAGTCTCTAAATTGTGATATTTTATCTCTATGATTATTTCCTATTAAGGCTATTGGAGAGTATTATGCTATGTGAAATAAGCCAGTCAGAGACAAACAAGTATCACATGATCTCACTTGTATGTGGAATCAAGTGAACAAAACAAACTGATAAACAAAAAAGATCCAGGCATAAGCATGCAACAGACTGAAGTATTTAAAAGGGAAGGGGGAGGGGTTATGGGAAGAGATTAACCAAAGAATTATCTATGCACAGCCCACGGACAGATAATATAGTGCAGTAGGCCTGGGGAGGGGACAGGTGAGGGGTGGAGGGTGTCTATGGGGAGAAGAAGGGAGACATCTGTAATACTTTCACAATAAAGATAATCCTCACCCAAGGAGTGCGGATATTTTTTCCATTGATTTTTAGAGAGAGTAGAAGGAAGGGGGGAGTGAGAGAGACAGAGAGAGGAGAGAGAGAAAGAGAAAGATCAACCTGAGAGAGACACATCGATTGGTTGCCTACCGCTCACTCCCCTGACCTGGCCATGGACTGAATCTGCAACTGAGGTATGTGCCCTTGACTGGGAATAGGATCCGTGACCCTTTGGTCTGCAGACCAACACTCTGACCACTGAGCCAAACCAGCCAGGGCAATAAAGATCTTTTTTTTTTAAAAAAAGGCTCTTGGGAAGAATAAGATATCAGGAATTATAAAACTTTCAGATCAATAGCTTATTTTACCATATTGTATTCTACATCTATCTCTCTATATATAAAAGCCTAAGCGACCGAATGACCCGCCGCTGGTCACTATGACATGCAGTGACCACCAGGGGGCAGCCGCTCAACACAGAAGCTGCCCTCTGGTGGTCAGTGCGCTCCCACAGTGGGAGTGTTGCTCAGCTGACCAACCTGTACTGGTGGCCCACTCCCTCCCTCTGTAGTCCTACAGGTCCAATCTCCAGAGAACAGGCCAGACACCAATGGACTGGTGCTGCCAGCACAATCCCAACTGTGCCGCTGGCCTCCTGGAAGTTGGCCTCGGGCACTGCGGCCACTTCCCCTCCCTAGGCGCTCCTCAAGGAAGAAACAATATGAAAGCCGCCGCCAGGTGGCTCCCAACAACCAGCGTGAACATCAGTGGGATGGATCCAGGTTCCGGGACAGCAAGCGCATCCCACCACCCGCCCAGAGGGCCAATCGCATCCCAGCCCCCCTCCCTTCTCCCTCAGAACAGGTGCCAGATGCAGGGCTCACAGCTGGCAAGTGCCACTGAGTGGGGCGAGTCTCTCGCGAGCAGGACTGACTGGGCACAAGTCTGCAGCAGGCGCAATGGGGCTGGGATGAGCGGGAGCGGAAGGTAGGAGTAGCAGGCAGCACTGGACTGCTGGTTTCGGCCCAATCCCCACAGACCATGCCAAGGGACCCCACCCATGCACGAATTCGTGCATTGGGCCTCTAGTATGTTATAAACGAAGGTAAGTCTTATTTAGCAAGAATCTGTTTTGAGTTTGGGAACACTTAAAATATTAGAGATGCAGTATTTTTAAAAGCCCATTATACCTTCTAGTCACTGTATACAGAGCACTTACTGTCCTACATAGTATTAAAGTTTGGTTTTAAAAGTTTGCATTACTGAACTTCATTAAAAGACAAATTTTAATTGTCACTTCAAATATACACTTGATGAAATATCTCTGGTGACACACTTATCTTTAATATTTACCTATTTTGAATTAAGTTCGGGTTAAACAAAGTTTGATTAATGTTGATGAAATAGAGAGAAAGGGCTTAGAGACCTAATCTGTGGGACCACTCCATCTTCCTATATACTGAGAGAAATACAGAAAATAGGGAGAAATTGTACTGCTCCTTAATGCCTTTCTTTTCTTTCTTTCTTTTTTTTTTTTTAATATTTCATAGCTCTCAACTTAGGAGAAAAGTTGTAAGCTGACTATGAGATGCTTTAGTTAGTAATTTTTTTTTTTTTTTTAAAATAGGACACTTCAAAAGATCTGTTTTCCTTCCTTCACAACTTATCTGGATAGTCATGGGTTTTAAGGGGGAATGCCTGGCTTAGAAGCTAAGGAAGCAATTAGAAGCTTACGCACTCTAAGTTCATAAGGCTCCTATAGGACTTATGATAACCTTGGAGAAAGCTTTTGGTGGGGAAGGGAAGGGGAAGAGAAGGGAGGGGAGGAGAAGAAGGGAGGAGAGGGAAAGGGAAGGGAGGGAAGGGGACCGGAGGGGAGGGGAGGGGAGAAAGCCATTTGACTGATAAGTGTCAGTCATACTGCTACTTGAAATTCAAGATACCAGTGTTTCAAAGACATCCTGCTACAGGAAGGTCTTAGAGTATATTGTTTCTCAAAGGAAAATGAAAATATGCCCAATAATACTGAGGTTTATGCAGAAACAGAGTTGAAAGAAGCCATAAAAATATAAATAACCCTGCGTGGCAGGGTGATATTCCTGATCCATTTCTTATCCCATCTGTCCAATTACTATGGGTTATGTGACTGACGGAAATCATCCATCTGTAAGTCCTCTGAGCAATATACATTAAAGCTCATGCATACATTCGGCAAACCATTCCTCAGAGGGCTTACAACTTTTATGTGTGTGAAAATTTGAAGTCACACTCATTTCCCCAAGCTCCTGAAGATAACATCTGTACACAACAGCAATCAAAAGCATATTTTGAACTATTCCTTTAGTTCCTTTTCAATTAGGAGACTTTGCCAACCTCAGGAAGCCCTTGTGGAAATAGAAGAAACATTATTATATAGAAAGACCAGTGTCAAGACTAGTGCTCAAAATTTATTAGGAAAATTTTCAGTAATTTAACCTTCATAGTTCTTTCTGCTAATGAAGATTAGTACATGGGAGGTGTTTCTCAACCAAACTAGGTGAATATTAAAATCAGGGATGGTAGGCTTTGAGTTCTTCACCATCGCTCCCATGCATGCACATGCAAACACAGAAGAAATTTAAAAGGGGGAGAATACACTTCAAGCATTTTCAGAAACAAAATGCAATAGAGGGCTTTTGTCTATTAACTAATAATTTTAAATAGCCATATCATCCAAAAACCAGTCCCATAAATATTTTTTAAATCAATATTCAATAATACTTTACGGCCTTTAGTTTTTTAATCTGGATAAGAAAACATATGATAAATAACATTTTCCCAGAGAATTTATCAACTTGCTTACCATCAAATGTTAAATAAACTCTTGCTTGGGGCTGAGAAGATCCTTTGACACAGACAGAACAAACAAATACTCCAACCAACATGCAAATTGCCTGGAATGCCATTTCTTCAGATTTTCAAGTTAATATCCAAGAGAAATACCTTTAAAAAAGAGATAAGTTTCTTACATTTCATTTCACATTTTAGGAGCACACCCACACCCACACAAACATAACCAGCAATCCAGACAGAGCACCTTATTCACAAAAGACATTCCTGAACTTTCATAGTCATGCAAACAGTAGGAGGTGCTGTGACTTTGCTTCTTAGATGTGAAAATTTGGATTCAATTCCCTTGGTCTGGCAGTGTTTGCGAAAGAGAAACTCTCATTTTCCAAAACTTAAAGAACAAAGCAGCCAGGAAAAAGTGATTGACTCCCAAAGGAAAACCAATATTTAAATGTGATTGCCTCTCTAAAGATCACAGTATGTTTAAATGGCTTGAGAATGGTATGCATAGGTATGAATGGATGAAAACATCCCTTCCTACCATAAATACAGTAGTAGTAAAAAAAAATATCCCACATGAACATTCTGTACTCATTAGCTCTTGTACCTGAAATGGTGTTTCTATGCATTAATGGACATGTGCTCAATCCTTGATCACTGAAATCATTTGAATCAGTTATCGGCCAATTTATACAGATGACCACGCAGCTGTTAAGTGATGCAGATGAGGTAACCTTGGACTGGTGCCAAATTCAAACCAATGACCTAGTGGTGAGCAATCTAGTGAACCATATATCCCTCAATGCATAGTTCATATAAATCAACCAGAAAGTGGCTGTCAAAATCCCAATAGATAAATCAGAGAGACAAGTCCTATCTGGAACTGTAGCTATAAAATTGATACATGCTATTAACTAACGTCTGAATACCAAGGAAGATCAGGTAACCTGTTAACTACAGATCTATAAACTCTCCAGTGGTCACAACATGTGAAATAATCTCAGGACCATAAAAATAATATCCCATTATTTTGAGTCTAGCATAATTATATACTGAAATAACATAACAGTTTAATCTAGGAATTAATTTTTATAGATCACAACAATTCTGACCTTCCTTCAATATTATGTGGCTTTTAAAATTAAAATCTTATCACTGATTTTACTCAATAAAATGCCATTACAAGTTGTAAACACTGCTTCATTAATGCAGAAGAAAAAAAGACCAATTATACTGAACGTGCCATTCTAAACGAAAATTATAAGTTGATTTCCTAGGTGGCACATATACGTTATGAGAGTTAGAAACAAAATCGCACACCTCTTCTACCACACAGATGGAGGGAAGCCTTGAGATGTTTGTGTTGGTAATTTTCAAAAGAAACAGTTTCTTCCTGCTTCCACAACCCCTTCACCCTGTCATCCCTAAATTATCTTAGAAGAAAATTGATTTTATGGAGTGACTTTCCCTTAGTCATTTGTTCCCTGAGGGGAAAAAAAAAAGCCACAAAGATGCCTAACCTTTGTCTCTTTATTAAGAAGGCTGATAGGATTTACATATTTTTACGTATTGCTATTATCAGTATTTTATCTGGTA